TTTTTATGGGGCCACCATGTTCCCAACTAGGCAAAGCCTAAGGCCACGAGCGGAGTCATGTTCTTGCCGCTACTGCGGCTCAGCCCGACCAGAAGCACCGGCTCCGACACCCATGAGATGCCAGCGTGGGAGATGGCTCTACCAATCCACACTGTCTCCACATTTGGCTGAGCTCAGACCATCCCGCCATCCATGCGGTACCTGATAGAAATGAGACTCTAACGTTTAAAGATTATCCAAGCTGGGGGCAGTGGTGGCGCACGCCTTTAATCCCAGCACTTGGGAAGCAGAGGCAGGTGGATTTCTGAGTTTGAGGCCAGCCTGGTCTACAGAGTGAGTTCCAGGACAGTCAGAACTACACAGTGAAACCCTGTCAAAAAAAAAAAATTATCCAAAGGTTTTATATATTTGGTGATGCTCAAATAACAAGATGCCCACACAATTGGAAGTGTTACCCAATTAACTAACCTAGATATAAGTTGTTACCCAGGACTGCTGTTGATACATACGTGGTCCTCCATGGCTCCCACATCTCACCTCCTCCTCCTATCTCCTCCTCTTCCTTCTCCTCCTGTCCTCACTCCTCTAGTTCAATCGCCGAGCTTTATACAAATGTAGTGGGAGGATATCCAGCTACACATGCCCATACACAGACACACACATTTAATATAAAAAATAAAAAATAAGAATAAGAAATCTGGCTGTAGTGATGAGTACCTTTAATCTCAGCAGGTTAGTCCAGGCTATATCATAAGATTTTGTTTTAAAAAAAGAAAGAAAGAGGGCTGGAGAGATGGCTCAGTGGTTAAGACCACCGTCTGCTCTTCCAGAGGACCTGAGTTCAATTCCCAGCAACCACATGATGGCTCACAACCATGTGTAATGGGATCCGATGCCCTCTTCTGGTATGCGGGTGTACATGTAGATAGAACACTCATACATAAAATAATCTTTAAAAAAAGAAAAAGAAAGAGAAGAAGGAACAAAAGAAAACAGAGAGCATTTGAAGGATGAGGTATGGGGGAATGGGAAAGATTCAGACATAGACGAAAACATTAATTAGCTGTCAGGTTGGATATGTCAGGATAATTTCTTTTTGTTTTAAAAAAATTACATTTATTAATTTAATTTTAAAATAATAAAATTATTTGTAACATTCTGTTCTGTTTCTTTTTTTAAAATTTTTTTTTGAGACAGGGTTTCTCTGTGTAGCCCTGGCTGTAATGGAACTCACTCTGTAGACCAGACTGGCCTTGAACGCAGAAATCTGCCTGCCTCTGCCTCCCAAGTGCTGGGATTAAAGCTGTACACTGCCACCACACAGCTATAAAATATTTTTATAACAATGATTATAGTTTGTTTATTTACATTTATTTATTTAAGTATGAGTGTGTGTGTGTGTGTGTGTGTGTCTGTGTGTGCCTGTATGCCGCAGCATGCCTGGAGGCCAGTGGACAACTTGTGGAAGTTGGTTTTCTCTTTCTATTCTTAGCCCTAAGGGATCAGACTCAGGTCACAGGCAAGTGCCCTTTAGGACCGAGCCATCTTTCTGGTACCTTTTTTTTTCTTTCTTTTTTTTCTTCATTATTTATTTATTTTTTGTGATGCTGGGAGTTTAACCCATGGTTCGTTGAGTGTTAGACAACTTCTTAGCCATAAGCCATGGCTCTATGGAACATATTTTGTAAATATTTAGTATTTTGCATGTATTAAATATTATATTAAAATAAAACAGATGAAAATATTTTTAAGCCAGGCAGTGGTGGTGCATGCCTTTAATCCCAGCACTTGGGAGGCAGAGGCAGGCGGATCTCTGAGTTTGAGGCCAGTCTGGTCTACAGAGTGAGTTCCAGGACAGCCAGGGCTACACAGAGAAGCCCTGTCTCGAAAAAATAAAAACCAAAAAAAATATATATATATATTTTTAATGGGGTTAAAGAGATGGCTCAGTGGTTAGGAGCACTGACTGCTCTTCCAGAGGTCCCACGTTCAATTCCCAGCAACCATATGCAGGTTCCGGACGATCTATATTGAGATTTGGTGCCCTCTTCTGGCCTGCAGGCATATATGCAGGCAGAACACGGTGTACATGAGAAATAAATAAAAAAAATTAAATTTCTAAAAATGTATTTATTTTATGTGTATAAATTTTTCTCTGCATGAATGTCTGTGTACTCCACATGTGTCTCTGGTGCCTGAGTAGATCAGAAGAGTGTAGCAGATCTTCTGAAACAAGTTGTTGAAACAGATGGTTGTATTTCATCATGTAGGTTCTAGAAATCCAACTTCAATTCTCTGAAGAGCAATAAGTGGTCTTAACTGTGGAGTCACCTTTTTGGCTGTATTTTTAAAGTTTTAAAAGTTGTATTATCCTGGGTAGTGGTGGTAGTGGTGGTGGTAGTGGTGGTGAATGCCTTTAATCCCAGCACTCGGGATGCGGGGGGAGGCAGATCTGAGTTCCACAGCAGCCTGGTCTACAGATTGAGTTCTATGACAGCCAGGGCTACACAGAGAAACTCTGTCTTGAAAAAAGTTTATATCATCAATCAATCAATCAATCAATCAATCGTGTGTTTGTTCATGTGTGTGTGTGTGTGTGTGTGTGTGTGTGTGTGTGTATTGTGGTCCACATGTAGAGGTCAAAGAACAACTTTCAGCAATGTGTTTTCTCCTTTCACTTAGTGGGTCCCCCAGGAATGAGCTCAGTCAGGCTTGGTGACAAGTGCTTTTATCTGCTATGGGATTGCTCCTGTCCTAATTACATTTTTTTTTTTTAAAGGTGTACTTATTTTTATATTTTGTTTGACTTTTACCTGCACTGGTGTGTGCAGTGCCCCCAGAGGTCAAAAGAGGGCACCAGATTTTCTGGAACTGGAGTTATGAGTGGTTGTCAGTAGCCATGTGGGATCTGGGAACAGAGCCTGGGTTCTCTGCAAGTGATGAACCAGCCTGTCTCCCTCTTAGACTTAAAAGCATCTTATATTAACGACAAACTAGGTTCATTCCTGTTTATAAGTAAACATGTTTCTCAAGGATTGGATTATGCCCCACCTGTAACCTTAACTACAAATGGTTCCTGTACTGCCTGTTCCAGGAAATGGCAATCATGTCTTTGTTTCAAAAAGTTGTAGTAACCATCTCACAATCCTTCCTTTGGTTCAAAAAGTTGTTATGCCCACCTTGTATGACCACCTTACAGTCACGTCTTGTTTCATGAGGGCTATATGACTAACTTGTTATGTTTATCTTCTCTTCCTGTAACCCTGCCTATTTTTCCCACCAAATCTGCCATTTGAAAACCCCCACCCCAGAACTTTAAAACCCTTGTGTTCTCTGGGCGGTGGTGGTGCACGCCTTTAATCCCAGCACTTGGGAGGCAGAGGCAGGCAAATTTCTGAGTTCGAGGCCAGCCTGGTCTACTGAGTGAGTTCCAGGACAGCCAGGGAAACCCTGCCTTGAAAAAACAAAACAAAACAAAACAAACAAACAAACAAAACAAAACAAAACAAAAAACAAAAAGAAAAAAAAAACCCTTGTGTTTCTCACATCCAAGGCTGATCTCTTGAACCCTACTTTTATGTGTGCAGGAATAAAAAAAAAAAAAAAGCTTGCTTTAATTAATTGGGCCATGATGATTTGGGTTGGTGGTCTTTCTCCTCTGATCTTTGGGATCAACACAGAAGCAGCAGATATTCTTAACTGTTGAGCAATCTTTCCAGCCCCACCCAGCTCTACTTTTATTTTGTATGTGGGATGTGGGGTACAGAATCAAGATGTGAGGATTGGTTGTTTTCCTCACAATCTCTTTTTTTTAAAAAAAGACTTCTTTTATATGTATGGCTTTGTATGTAATACATATATACATGTATACATACATACCCATACATACATAAATAAACCATACATATATACATACCTAATACATAAACCATAATATACATACATAAATATACAGAGTGCTTGGTGCTCTGGAGGTCAGAAGAGGGCCTCAGACACCTTGGAATTATAGATGGCTGTGTGTCACTATGTGAGTACTGGAAACCAAACTTGAGTTGTCTGCACGAGCAACGTGTACTCTTAATGGTTAAGCCATCTGTATCTCTCTGGCTTTTTTTTTTTTTTTTTTTTTGAGAAAGGGTTTCTCGGGCCGGAGAGATGGCTCAGCCGTTAAGAGCACTGCCTGCTCTTCCAGAGGACCTGAGTTCAATTCCCAGCAACCACACGGTGGCTCACAACCATCTGTAATGGGATCTGATGCCCTCTTCTGGTGTGTGTCTGAAGATAGTGATAGCGTAGTCATATACATTTAATAAAAAAAAAAAAAGGGCGGTCTCTTACTGTACCTGGAGCTCATCAGTTAAGCTAGAATGGCTGCTTAGCCAGCTGGAGGAATCCTACTTTTGCCTTCCCAGAACTTGGATTATGGGCGACATCAAGTTGTTTTTTAACCTGGGTAATGGAGATCTGAAGTCAGGTCATCATGCTGTGTGGGGAAGTCCTTTACCCTCTGAGGGATCTGCCCAGCCCTGAACTCCCTTTTTGTTATTGTTTGTTTTAACAATGTCTCACCGTGTAGCACTGGATGGCCTGGAACTTGCCTTGTAGATCTGGACTTCGAGAGATCTGCCTGAGATTAAAGGTATGCACTGGATTCAGTACTTTTAAAGAAAACAGAGAACCTTTTTTTTTTTTTTTTTTTGGGAGCCTGTAGACGCTGCCCTGGAACCTGTGGCGATCCCCCTACCTCAGCCTCCGAGTGCTGGGATTTCAGGCGTGCACTATCACATCTGACTTCAACCATTCGGTTTCTATATCTGAACACCCGTCTCTGACGCTAAAAAAAAAAGCCTAGCGGACGAGAACTCCGAACCTCCCGCAGCTCAAGACACTCTGGGGTGGGAAGGCGGGGCTCCGAGCGAGGTGGGCGGGGCCTCAGAACCTTAGGCCCCTCCCACGCCTCTGTGCGTACCCTTGGCGCCAAATTTCCCAGCAGTTCTCGCGGAGCGGAGTCTCGAGTCTCGCGAGAGGCGTTGTTGGCGCGCTTGGCGGCAGCCGCCGTTTGGGTAAGGTGAGATCCGTTTCTGCGAGGGTGGCTTTCGAGGCGGAGGCTGCGGTGCCAGCCCGGTGCGGGGTCGCGGGCGGTGGGGTTGCGCCCAGGAGCCAGGCGGAAGCGGGGCTGAGGAGGAGCGGGCGGAGCGGGCGGGAGGCGCCCGAGGGGCCGGAGGATGGCGGGCCTCCCCCCTGAGGCGGTGCCTTCCCCGCGCGCACCGACCTGCGGCGTGCTTCGGGACTGAGGATGTGGGCGGATGAGAAGAAGGCGCGAGAGGAGGGAAGGGAGATGTGAGATTTTTAAATTTTTTTTTTTAAGGATGGTACCCACAGTGGGCCGTGAGTTAGGATGGTAGGACTTCTTTAGGGTGAGGGTGCATCTGGGAACAGGTCTGGGGAGGAATTGTGGATCGGGTGTTGAATTTGTTACCCATACTGCTCTGGGGTGTGGGGGTTTGAGGACAAGGAGGGGAAACAGAGGCATCCTCGCTATTGTCCAAAACGTTGTGTGACAGTTGTCAAGGAGAGAAGGGACATCTGACTCTTCACAGATAACTAGGAGAAGCCAGCTTACTGATAAGCCCCGCCTCCTGGTGCTTTGCTGGTTATTTGCTGGTTTAAGTCTTTCCGCTTTAAGTCTTGTTTTCAAACTCCCATTAGAATGGCACTGGATGTACCTACTAGGTGTTTGGAGGTTGAGGTGCTTGTTCTGGGCCTAGAACCCAGGCCAAATGGTCTAAGGTCGAGCTGTAATCTCTAGCCTTTGGTTCCCAAATTTAATGGATAATGAAACTTACTCAAAAGACTTAGCAGTTTAATATCAGGAGCCTGTACTTTGTTTTTTTTTCTTATATATTTACAGTCACAGAAGTTTAGAACTAGGGACAGCTAGTAGAGTAAATGAGGTCCTTGAGGAGCAAGCCTTACTGAGTTTGATCCCCTGGATCTCATGTAAGGGTTGAAGGAAAGAACTGACTATACAGTCGTTGTAGCTTTGCTGCTTTGTGGGGTCTTCTTTCTTCTACCTTTCCCTACCCTTAATCTACACTTTCAACCCCCTTAAAAAAAAAAAAAAGAGAAACAAGGATACAAGGAAAGGGGGGGCAAAATCGTTATCCTGCTGGTGAGGGGCGTCATGCTCCTTTGGGGCAAGTTTGATCTTCACGTCAGCATATGTAATTTCCTGTCTTTGCTCACCACTACTTAGCAAACCACGACCTACAGCAAGCAGTCAACTCTGGCCTTTAATGTACCCTCTGAAAAGCCCTCAGAATTCTAAACAGCACACAATTGCAGAAGCTATATCTGCAGTTAGCAGAATCACCCTCCTGTTAGAGCACGAGGCAAGATTATCTCAGCTGTGGACAGTCTGAAGCAGCCAGTTCTCATACCAGGAACTGAAATGAAAACATAATATTTCTGTGCTTTTTTTTTAAAAAAAAAAAGAAACCAAAATTCCAAAATTGTTGTTATAGGTTGTCCTTTGACCTCCCCCATGGCACATAATGCACCCATATGTACACACAACAACATAAATTAAAAAATAATAAATCTAACAGTTTTGGGGATGTTTTAGATGTATTCTGAGTATATCTTTAGTTTTGTTTTGTTTTTTAAGATTCATTTATTTTTTATGAGTATGCTGTCACAGTCTTCAGACATACCAGAAGAGGGCATCAGATCCCATTACAGATGATTGTGAGCCACCATGTGGTTGCTGGGAATTGAACTCAGGACCTCTGGAAGAGCAGTCAGTGCTCTTAACCACTGAGCCATCTCTCCAGCCCCGAGATTTTTATTTTTAATTAAAGATAGGAGTCCTCATGTAGCCCAAGCTGGTCTGAGGTTGGCCCAGGCACATAGCTGAAGATAACAGATTTCTGATCCTCTTGTTTCTTTCTGAGGACTGGGATTTTACAAGTCCATGCACTCCCCGTACCCCCAAGGTAGTTTATGGGGTGCTGGGAATTGAACTCAGGGCTTTGTGTATTCTAGCCAGGCCCTCTACCAATTTAGTCTACAGCTGTATTGTATGTTCCCTGTGTGTATAGACAGTGGTTCTGTTCTGTTCCCCAACTGGCCTTCTGGTTCCTACTGTAGACTCTTGAGTGTTCAGACTACAGTTCCTGGCTTGGATTGTTTTTACATTCCTTTCCTCAGCAAATGTATATTGGGCACCTGTTGTGCATCAGGCTTTGGGACATAGTGGTGAAACAACAAAGAGACCTCACTGATTTTTGTCCTAAGAGAGCCACAATCAATATAGGGGACTAGCATTAAATAAATAAAGCCTAACAGAGAAATGATGATTCCTATAAAACCTCTGCATGGTACTGTTGATTCTTGTTTGTTTGTTTGTTTGTTTTGAGACAGGGTTTCTCTGTGTAATCCTGGCTGTCCTGGAACTCACTCTGTAGACCAGGCTGGCCTCGAACTCAGAAATCCGCCTGTCTCTGCCTCCCAAGTGCTGGGATTAAAGGCGTGCGCTACCACTTATAAGAGAATTCTGGGCCATCAAGATGGCTTGTCAGGGAAAATGCTTGCTATTCAAATCTAATGATTTGAATTTAATTCCAAGATGGTGAGAGAACTTCTGAAAGCTGTTCTTAGGCTTTCACATATATGTGCGCGCGCGCGCATGTGTGCACGCTAAAACACAGACACACACAAGTGTTATAATTTAGGGACATTTGAGTGGTTTCTTCTCTAAGGGTCTTGGGCTGGCCTTGAAATCTGTGTAACTAGGATGAGCTCTGTTCCTCTCGCTTCTACCTTTGTGTTAGGATTGCAGGCTGTATAATCAATCTCTTGGTTTGAGATAGGTTTTCCTAATGAGGTAATGGTTAAAATTTGAGAAGAATTAGGGGTCAGGGAAGAGCTTTCAGAATGCATGTAATGTTAGTACTTGGGAAGTAGAAGCAGGAGGATCAGGAGTTGGAGGCCAGTTTGACCTATATATAAGAACTTTTCTTCCTTTTTCTTTCTTTCATTTTTTTCTTTTTTTTTGTTTTGTTTTTTTGTTTTTGTTTTGTTTTTTCGAGACAGGGTTTCTCTATATAGCCCTGGCTGTCCTGGAACTTACTCTGTAGACCAGGCTGGCCTTGAACTCAGAAATCCACCTGCCTCTGCCTCCCAAGTGCTTGGATTAAAGGCATGCACCACCACTGTCCGCCAAGACCTTCTTTCAGAATACAAGAGTAGGGCTTGGTGAGTGTAAGGAATTTACTGCTCTTGAAAAGGACCTGAGTTCTGTTCCCACACCTACACCACCACTGAAAACTGCTTGTAACTCTAGTTTCTGGGGAACACATCACCCTTTTGCTTCTTTGAATATGAACACATGCATACTGTACATACATACAGACAAACACACAGGTAAAAATATATCTTTGCCAGGTGGTGCTGGTGTAAGGCTCTAATCCTAGAACTAGGGAGACAAAGATAGGCAGATTTCTGAGTTTGAGGCCCACCTGGTCTACAGAGCAAATTCCAGGCCTTCCAGGAAGACATAGAAAAACCCTGTTTTGGGGAAAACAACAACAAAAAGCAAACAACTTTGTATGAAACAAACATACATCCAGGTTCTTGACAGTGGAAATGGCTCTTTCAAGGAGTTTGAAAAGAGGGTGAGAGTATTAAGTGAAGTTAGCTTTATATACATTTTATTCTTTTTTAAAGAGTCTCATGGTCCAGGCCAGCTCTGAACTGCTATGTACCCAAGCCTGACCTTGAGGTCCTGATTTACTTCCTTTTAAATGCTGGGATTACAGGTGCCACTATGCCTGGCAAAAATTATGTTAAGATCTGTGTATTTTAAAGCCTGTTTTTCCCTACTGAATTTTTTTTTCTTTTTTTGAGACTGTCTCTAGCTAGCCTGGAACTTGCAATATAGACTATACTGCCTCAACTCAGAAATCTATCTGCCTCTGCCTTTTAAGTGCTTTGGATTAATGTGTTCACCATCACATCCAGCTACATTGGATCTTTTTTTTTTGTTGTGTTTTGTTTTTTTTGTTTTTCGAGACAGGATTTCTCTGTGTAGCCCTGGCTGTCCTGGAACTCACTCTGTAGACCAGGCTGGCCTTGAACTCAGAAATCCACCTGTCTCTGCCTCCCAAGTGCTAGGATTAAAGGCATGCTCCACCACCGCCCGGCTACATTGGATCTTAAACTGAATTTTAGCATGGTGTCAGCCTTACAGTTTCAAAAGTTCAATCCAGCTGTAGTGAGAATTCATTGAAAGAGGCAGAAATGAATGGAAATAATGGTGTGCTTGAAACAAGCAAGAAGTGTTGTGAAGTGGTTATAGAGATAAGGGCAGATATTAAAGGAATATTTAGGAATTTAAATGGATAGGTTATATTGAATATAGGGAGGAAATGTTAAAGATAACTCGTCTTTAACTTGAACAGCTTGATGAGTGTCATTCACTGAATCAAGGGCATTTAGAAATTCAATGGTGGGGCTGGAGAGATGGCTCAGCACTTAAGAGCACTGACTGTTCTTCCAGAGGTCCTGAGTTCAATTCTCAGCAACCACATGGTGACTCACAACCATCTATAATGAGATCTGATGCCCTCTTTCTGGTGTGTGTGAAGTACAGCTACAGTGTACTCATATACATAAAATAAATAAATAAATCTTAAAAAAAAAAGGAAGAAAGAAATTCAATTTTGTAGCCAGGTGGTGGTGGCGGTGGTGGTGGCAGTGGCAGTGGCGGTGGCAGTAGCACACACCTTTGATCCCAGTACTCGGGAGGCAGAGGCAGACTGATATCTGAGTTTGAAGCCAACCTGGTCTGCAGATCAAGTTCCAGAACAGATAGACAGACAGGGCTACACAGAGAAACCTTGTGTCTAAGCACTCCTCTCCCCTGCCCCACAGTCCACCAGAAAAGAATATAGTTTTGTGTATGAGTTAATAAATACCCTTGAGACAATTGAAAGCTGCAAAATGGACAATAGGAATCTGTAGCCCCACAATATGGTCTAGGTTGGAAGAATCAACATTAATAAATCTGGGGGCTGGGGAGATGGTTCAGTGGTTAAGAACACTAGCTTAATTTCTTAACAGAGGACCTGGATTTGATTCCCACCTATAACTCTAACTTGAATTCCAGTGGTATAATGTCTTCTGGTCTTCACAGGGACTGTATGCATGTGGTACACAGACATACATGTAGGCAAAACACCCATGTATACAAACGTTAAAAAACATGTATTTAGTGGTGGGGCCTACATTATAACTCAGTTTTCCTTCATACTATCTTCTCTACTTTTTAGAAATCTTGTATTAATTTAAAATGTGGTTTAAGTGATTGTAACATGGCTTTCACTGTGGATGGAATTAGATTGTGCGATAGGAAGACTGTTTTGTCTGGATAAAAATAACTTTTTTTTTCTCCTGGAGGAAAAGATGTTAGAGCAAGAAGAAAATGGCTTGTTTGAAATACCAGATTATGAACATATAGAGGATGAAACTTTTCCTCCCTTCCCGCCTCCGGCCTCTCCAGAGAGAGATCCTGTAGAAGGGGAACCCAATGAAGGTCTGTATCAAGAATTCCACAAAAGTGCCCTTTAATTTGTTTGTTGGTTTTGTTGTTTGTGTGTTTTTAAAGTAGGATTTCTCCATATAGCTCAGTCTGTCCTGTAGACTCTGGTGGCCTCAAACTCAGAAATCCAACTGCTTCTGCCTCCCAAGTGTTAGGATTAAAAGTGTGAGCCACCAAGCTTGGTTGTTTGTTGGTTTTTAAGACAAGAGCTAGCTCACAGTGTATCCCAGGCTAGCCTTGCTCTGGCAATCCTGCTGTAGCCTGCTGAAATGTCCCACACAGTTATGTGTCAGATTAGCTTAGAAGTGATACATTTTGGGCTGATGAGATGGCTCAGGGCTTAAGACCACTGCTCTTCCAGAGGTCATGAGTTCAAATCTCAGTAACCACATGGTGGCTCACAACCATCCATAAAGAGATCTGATGCCCTCGTATGGGGTGTCTGAAGACACTACAGAATACTTACATATAATAAATTAAAATTAAAAAAAACAGCTGGGTGGTGATTGCGCACGCCTTTAATCCCAGCACTTGGGAGGCAGAGGCAGGTGGATTTCTGAGTTCGAGGCCAGCCTGGTCTACAAAGTGAGTTCCAGGACAGCCAGGGCTACACAGAGAAACCCTGTCTCCAAAAACCAAAAAAAAAAATTAAAAAAACAAAACTTTGGGCTGGAGTGAGCTGGGCCAGAGCAAGAGGGAGAATGGAATGGGGGATATGGAAAAATGATACATTTTGCAAATAAGGTTTGAATTTAAAAAAAAAAAAATTACTGGCTGGGTGGTGGTGGCATGGCACATAAATAACTTTCTTCAATCCCAACACTTGGGAGGCAGAGGCAGCAGGATCTCTGAGCTTGAGGTCAGCCTGGTCTACAGAGCAAGTTGCAGGACAGCCAGGGCTACACAGAGAAACCCCTGTCCCAAACAAACAAACAAACATACAAAAGTAACTATTATTTGTGTGTATCTGAATGTATGTGGGCACACACAGGTGCGCCTATGTGTGCATGTGGAGATCAGAGGACAGGTTTGTAAGGACTAAGTTTGGTCTGTAATTTACTAGGATCAGGGAGCGGAGTACCTGTTCCTGTCCCGCCAAGGAGAACAGTTAAAAGGAATCTACCTAAGCTAGATGCTACGAGGTATGGGCCTTTACTTTGATACATTTATAGATTTCTACTGTTTCAAGCTTTGGTGGATGATTTGGAGATCAGATAGAGTTCTGTAAAGAATTTTTTTCTCCTTTAAACATTTTCTTTTTTTTCTAATTCAGGAGGACATTTTTTTTTCTCATGGTCTTAGTTTTCACATGGCTGAAATTCAAAATATGTTTCTCTTCACAGATTGACTTCAGAGAGAGGGCTTCCAGCCTTAAGGCATGTTTTTGATAAAACGAAATTCAAAGGGAAAGGTCATGAGGTAAGAAATGTCTGATTGATCTTTATTTCTTAGCAATGGGCATTGAATCCAGGGCAAGTAGTAGAACACTGCTAAACAATACTACTGGAGTACATCCCAGGCCTGGTTTATTTTAGACTTTTATTCAAAAAAAATTTTGAGACAAAGTAGCACGATGCAACCCTGGCTAGCTGTGTTGGTCTTAGTAAGAATGCCATATATTTAAAGGCTTAGTCCTCAGGGAGTAGCAATATTAGAAAGGATTAGAAGGGTTGGGATGATGTGACCTTGTTAGAAGTGTGTGTCACTGGGGTGGGGCTTTGAGGTTTCAAAAACTCATGCCAGGGCCAGTCTTGTTCTCTCTCTACCTATGGATCAGAATGTAGCGCTTAGCTCTTGATGCAGTGTGTGCCACCATGCTCCCCACGGTGATAATAATGACTAGAAGCCTTTGAAACTGTTCCTGAGACACACTCTCATCCCCACCCCACACACTCTTACATGCTTTCTTTTGTAAGAGTTACCTTTACCTTGGTCATAGTGTCTCTTTACAGCAATAGAACAGTGACCAATACTCTAGCCCTGAACTCACAGAGAGCTATTTACCTTCGTCTGCTTCCCAATTGGTGGAAATAACAGTACCCACACATATGTAGCAGCTGTGCAGCTTGGTCTTCATGTGGGTCCCAAACAGCTGGAGCAGAGACTATCCCAAAAGCTGTGGCTTGTACACAGGATATGTTCTTCTAGCTGGGCTGCCTGGTCTGACCTCAGTAGGAGAAGAAGCTCCTAGCCTTGCAGAGACTTGAAGTGCTAGGGTGAGGTGATGCCTATGAGGCCTCACATCTTCTCAGGTGTGAGGGGTGGAGGAAGGATTGTGGGAGGGGGTGAATAGGAGGGGGTAGTGAGTGGGATGTAAAGTGAATAAGTAAAAAAATAAAATAAAGACAGGAGAATGTGAGATGAAAAGAATAACAGTGAAACTGGGTCGATTATGTTCTTAAGAATCTCTGAAAGCCGGGCAGTGGTGGCGCACGCCTTTAATCCCAGCACTTGGGAGGCAGAGGCAGGTGGATTTCTTAGTTTGAGGCCAGCCTGGTCTACAGAATGAGTTCCAGGACAGCCAGGGCTATACAGAGAAACCCTGTCTTGAAAACAAAACAAACAAACAAACAAACAAAAAAAAAAAGAAAGAAAAAGAATCTCTGAGTATATCACAGAAAAAATATATATATATCCTGAATATATACTGTTAATCATCACCTCTAGAGAAATAGCTTCAGTGAAATAGAAAGGATACTTGAAAGAATTAAGAGAACATCTTGTAGTTTCATTTTTTTGCCACCATGTTTAACATGGCTTTAGGAAAATTATGTCTGAGTCTATTAGCCCAAATTGATACCTTAAAAGTTTATAGCAATAACATTGACTTTGCTTTTTCCTAAGGAGTCTTTTTTTTTAAAAGTTTCTTAAGACAGGATTTCCCAGTGCAGCTCTGGCTATCCTAGAATTCACTTTGTAGACAAAGCTGGACTCAAACTCAGATCTGCCTGCCTCTGCCTCTCAAGTGCTGAGATTAAAGGCTTGTGCACCACCACTACCTTACTTTCTTTTTTTCTTTTATTTTTTAAATTTATTTATTTTATATATGTGAGTACACTGTCGCTGTCTTCAGACACACCAGAAGAGGGCATCGGGTCCCATTACAGATGGTTGTGAGCCATCGGATGGTTGCTGGGAATTGAACTCAGGACCTCTGGAAGAGTAGTCAGTGCTCTTAGCTGCTGAGCCATCTCTCTAGCCCTCACGACCACCTTAAAGAGTCATTTTTAAGGTTCATTAGAATTAACACTGCTTCTGTTGATCATATGTGTCTCTAAGGTATGGCATAATGTCTAGTTCTATTCTTGTTTATTTTAATTTTGAACTTAAAATTAATTCTATGGGCCGGGCGGTGGTGGCGCACGCCTTTAATCCCAGCACTTGGGAGGCAGAGGCAGGCGGATTTCTGAGTTCGAGAGTTCGAGGCTAGCCTGGTCTACAGAGTGAGTTCCAGGACAGCCAGGGCTACTCAGAGAAACCCTGTCTCGAAAAACCAAAAAAAAAAAAAAAAAGGAAAAAAAAAAATTAATTCTATGTATGTGTGGGTATATGTGTATGGGTTCATATGCTTTCAAAGGACCAAAGAAGAGTGAAAATGCTTGATGTCTTGGAGTTAGTATTAGAAGCATTTTTGAGATGTCTGAAGTAGGTGCTGGAAACTGAATTCAGTTCTCTAGGAGAGCAGTATGTGTTCTTCCTCTTTTTTTTTTTTTTGGTTTTGAGGTGGGTTTTTTTTGTAGACCGGACTGGCCTTGAACTCCCCAGAAATCTGCATACCTCTGCCTCTTGAGTGTGGGATTAAAGGTATGTGCCACTGTGCTGTCTAGTCAAGGTTAAATTACAGTACCAGCTAACCTGTGAGTGCTGACTTTGTCAAGTGCTTCTCTTGTTTTAACCCTCACAATGATCCTGTGAGTGTATATTGTATACACTTGAAGAAATAGGCACAGAAGGCTAAGCAATTTGTATTTAAATCTATGTTTTCTGTTTCAGGCTCTGTGCTTTTAATCATTCTCCTAGTTTATATTATTGCTAAGTGAAAAATGAGATATTCTACGGTAAAGGCAGGAATTTATAACTTGTTAGCTAAGCTTAGTAATCTTAATTTAGGTTTTAAATATAGAGGGATGTTATGGTTTGAGAATGTTAACTGTTAGCACTAGTATCTGCTTTTTTTCTTGGGGTTTTGGAGTATATTTCTGAATTCTCAAAGCTTTATTCTGTCTTGTGTTTAGGAAACTGTTAGAGTAGTCAGTGATTCCTGAAAGATACTTTGGCATCTTTTATTAAAGCGTATTTTGTCCGGGCGGTGGTGGCGCATGCCTTTAATCTCAGCACTTGGGAGGCAGAGGCAGGTGGATTTCTGAGTTTGAGGCCAGCCTGGTCTACAGAGTGAGTTCCAGGACAGCCAGGGCTACACAGAGAAACCATGTCTCGAAAAAAAACCAAAAAAAAAAAAAAGCTTATTTTGGGGTTTTACTGTATACTTCTGAAAAGATGCACATAGGATCCTTTTAAAACTTTTTTCTATTTTTGTACTGCTATTTTTCTCTCAGAGAGTGAGTGTATATGTGTGCATGTGTGTGTGGTTGCCAGAGGCCAACTTCAGGAAGGATCAGTGTTTCTTGTTTCTTTAGCACTAAAATTACAATGTCTGCTGTTGTCTTAGTTAGGGTTCTATTGTTGTAATGAAGCACCATGACCAAAACCAAGTTGGGGAGGAAAACATTTACTTCAATTATCACTGATGGAAGTCAGGACAGGAACTCGAAATGAGGCAGGAACCTGGAGGCAGGATCTGATGCAGACACCATGGAGGAGTGCTGCGTAATGGTTTTCTCTCCATGCCTTGCTCAGCCTGGTTTTCGTTTGTTTGTTTGTTTGTTTGTTTGTTTGTTTTTTCAAGAAAGGGTTTTCTGTGTAGCCCTGGCTGTCCTGGAACTCACTCTGTAGACCAGGCTGGCCTCGAACTCAGAAATCCGCCTGCCTCTGCCTCCCAAGTGCTGGGATTAAAGGCGTGTGTCACCACTGCCCGGCATCCTGTTTTTTTTTCTAAACAGAACTCAGGACCACCACCCTAGAAATGACTCCACCCCTAATAGATTAGGCCCTCCTATATCAATCACTAATTAAGGAAAACCTCTCAGGGCTGCCTATAGCCCATTATAATGAGGCATTTTCTCAATTGAGGCTCACTCCTCTCCAGTGACTCTAGCTGGTGTTGAGTTGACATAAAACTAGCCAGCACAGCTGCTGTGCCTGTGGACTTTTTGTTTGTTTTGTTTTTAATGTGGGGCTTGGATTGTACTCCGGTTCTCAGGGTTATTCCCCAGCCAGTTAACCAACAGAACTGTCTTCCCAGCACTGTAGTTATTTTCTCCTCTGATCTCTAAAAATCTGCATCTAAATCAAAATCTGTATCTGACACTCTTTTTTTTTTTTTTTCCAAGACAGGGTTTCTCTATGTAGCCCTGGCTGTCCTGGAACTTACTCTGTAGACCAGGCTGGCCTTGAACTCAGAAATCCACCTGCCTCTGCCTCCCAAGTGCTGGGATTAAAGGCGTGCGCCACCACCGCCCGGCTCCTTTTTCTGTTTCTATCTAAAAGTTTCTGAGCCTTATAAATATGACAGCAGTGACTTTGGCATTACCTTTAAATGCTAAAATCTGCTGACATGGTCAGCTGTGAGATTGAGTCTTCTGTTCAGCATTTTTATTTTTATGTGTTAGGCTGAAGACTTGAAAACGCTAATCAGACACATGGAGCACTGGGCACACAGGCTATTCCCCAAACTGCAATTTGAAGATTTTATTGACAGAGTTGAAAACCTAGGAAATAAAAAGGAGGTTCAGGTAGGTGTGATTATCGTGAATGTCATTCACAATGCTAAGTAGTACAAGGGTGGGTTTAGTTAAGGTGGAATCGCTGTTTAGGAGTCTTCCGTTAAGACACAAACATTAGTAGTAATTTTTTGAAGTACAGCTCTTTGAGATAGGAATAAATAATTGTTCCCTTCCCAACTTATTGATAAACATGGAAAAAAAATGTCTTTTTTTTTTTCAGACCTGTTTAAAACGAATTCGACTTGATCTGCCTATTGTGCATGAAGATTTTGTTAACAATAATGGTAATTACAAGTTTATCCACCTTATTACAAGGTAGCTTTTAGAAACTGGTCTAGCTTGTGTAGGCAGTATTTTATACAACTAAGGTCTTAACCTAATATATGTATGTAACTGCAGTGTAGTTAATAGTTATATCTAGAATTGGGCAAATCTAGAATGTAGTTGTATGTTTGTGAGTGTGTATGTGTGTTTGTGTGTAGTGAGCTCCTAGTTGTTAGTGTGGGTATAGACTGCAGAGGACAATCTTCCACAACCGTTCATCTTGTCAATCTCAGGGATCACTTTCATGTCATCAGGCTTGGCAGCAAGTGCCTTTATTAACTGAGACATCTCCTCAGCCCAGTAATACTTATATTTGACACTTGTTCCTTTTTTAGTATTGTAGTTAGCATACAAAAGAATGAGTTTCAGCCAGCTATAGTGGCACATGCCTTTAATCTCAGCACTTAGGAAGGAGCAGTAGATGGATCGTTGTGAGTTGAAAGCCAGTCTGGTACATACTGAGTTCCAGGACCGCCAAGGCTACTTAGAGAGACCCTGTCTTACTCCCTCCTTCTAAAAGAATATGCTTTACTATGAGATTTTTGCGTGTATATCATTGTACTTTGCTCAAGTCCATGTTACTTTCCTTGACTCCCTCCCTCTTGAAGTTTATTTCCTAAAAATATGATGGTAGCCTGGCATGGTGGTACACATGCTCTTAATCTCAGCACTCAGGAAGCAGAGGCAGGCAGACCGTTGTGAGTGTGAGGCCAGCCTGGTCTGTGTAAGGAGCTCCAAGGACAGCCAGGACTGTGGACTGAGACCCTGTCTCACGCACAGAGTCAGAAAAGATACGATTGCAGTATCATTAACATTTATATTGTTTGTGTGCCATGGCATGTGTGTGGAAATCGGGACAACTTCTAGAGTTAGTTTTTCCTTCATGTAGGTTCCAGGATTGAACAGAGGTTGTGAAGCTTGTTTGAGAACTTCCTGATTTTATTGATGTTTTACGGTTCTTGTCTGTACATATATGTATTAAACTAGAGTGTTCATGTGCATAGAAACCATTAGAAGAAGAATTGATGAACATTTTTTTTTTTTTTTTTTTTGGTTTGGTTTGGTTTTTCGAGACAGGGTTTCTCTGTATAGCCCTGGCTGTCCTGGACTTACTCTGTAGGCCAGGCTAGCCTTGAACTGTCAAACTCAGAAATCTGCCTGCCTCTGCCTCCCAAGTGCTGGGATTAAAGGCGTGTGCCACCACCGCCCGTCGAACATTTCCATTTCATTGACCGTGTAGACTTGAGCTGTGTGTGATAGATAATACATCTGTTTTCCCACCACTTGAGAGGTGGAAGGAGGAGACTCAGAATTTGAAGGCCATCCTTGACTACATGGTGAATTTGAGGCTTAGTTGGATTATACAAGACCCTGTTTAAAAGAAAATCCAAAAAACCAGATCCATGATTAGACTTTAGGAAGACCTGCGTGACTGTACCTGGTATTGATTGCATTGTTAGTTGTACAATGCAACCATAGACAGTCACGTACATCAAAACAGATGGTTCCTGCCGACAGGGTCTGTATAGTTGTCAGATTTTCTGTGCGATGGCTCCATACATAAAGATTTTAAAAACTTTTTAAAACGTGTATGTTTATTTATGTGTGCATCTGTATGTGGATATGTGTATGTGTGAGTGCAGTTACCCAAATACTGGAGCTAGGTGTATAGGAAGTTGTGAGCTGCCTAACATGGATGCTGGGAACCAAACTGTGGTCCTCTCTCTGTAAGAGCAGCATGTGCTCTTAACCCCGAGCTGTCTCTCTAACCCTTACGCTTATTCCTAACTAGTAATGTATTCGGGAAGTCGTAATGATGAGCGCCACACCCTCTTACTGTTAAGTCAGTGGTTCTCAACCGCGGCAGTGTTGCCGTCCTTTGTTCTTTAACACAGTTCCTCATGGTGATGGGGTGGTGACCCCCAACGTACAGTTATTTTTGTTACTAGTTCCTAACTGTATCTTTACTACTGTTGTGAATCATAATGTAAATATCTGTTTTCTGATGATTTTAGGCAACCCCTGTGAAAGGTTTAGAGCCACTGGTTTAAATAGTCTGGGATTTTGAGTTCTTTTAAAAGATGGTATTTATTTATTAATGGTGTACAATTTGGCACATGTCAAAAAGAATTACTATGGTATGAAATACCAGAGCCTACATTCCTGGGTTAGTTGATTTACTTAGCAGCACTTTTCTTGAGCTATCTACTATTGTGCTCAAGTCTCGAGGATAAAAGATGAATTAAAATTAAGACCCTAAGTTTATAGTGTACAGATTGAGTTAGACAAATAACATTATCAGTAGTTTGACAGATGTTGTAATTCAATATGTGAGTGAGATGCAGTGGACAAAAGTTATATTTACTAGGAAGAGGAAGCTTCGTAGAGAAGGTATCGCAGGTGTTTTCATTAAGCAGTAGAGGTCGGCCAAGGGTGGTTTGGGATGTATGCCTTGTACATAGATGTACATTAGCATGAGCCGTTCAGAAGAATCATGTCGACGTGTGAAGTACATAGGAAAGGCTGTAATCAGAGATCTTCATTTTCTTTCATCTTTCCTTGTTTGAGGCAGAGTCCTGTCTGAAACCTGAGTGCTTGGGATTCCAGGTATCTATGTATGTTAGCAAATAGATCCCAAAGCAAATGTGTTGGGATTGGGTGCTGACTCAGTGGGTAAAGTGCTTGCTTCATAAGCATGAGGACTTGAGTCTGGATCACCAGCACCCATGTGAAAACCAGGGGAGTGCATGACATAACCCAGTAGAGACACAAGGACCCAGGGCTTACTGGGCATCCAGTCTAACTCAGTATTGAGCTCCAGGTTCAGTGAGAGACCTTGTCTCAAAAAATAAGGTGGAAATAATACAGGAAGACACTTGATGTTGACCTTGCCTCCAGACAAACATGTGATACAACATCCATATTCAGCACACCTTTAATCCCAGCACTTGGGAGGCAGAGGCAGGCTGATTTCTGAGTTCGAGGCCAGCCTGGTCTACAGAGTGAGTTCCAGGACAGCCAGGGCTACACAGAGAAACCCTGTCTTGAAAAGACCAAAAAAAAAAAAGTTTTCTTTTCCTCTTCAAACTGTGCTTAGATATCAACTCATTCAAAATCTTCCTGACTACTCTGTTAAAACTACATCCCTCTCACTCATCACTCACCCTCCTGCTGTTTTCTCTTTTTTTCCCTTCCATTTTTTTGTTTTGTCTTTTTGTTTTTTTGTTTTTTGGCTATTTGAGATGGGTTTCTCTCTATTCCTGGCTGTTTTGTGGCCCTTCCAGGTGCCAGGATTAAAGGCTCATGCCATAAAAAAAAAAAAAAAAAAAAAAAAAAAAAAAAAGACAGCATCTCAAGCCAGGTGAGGGTTGTGCGGTGTCCAGCACTCTGGAGGCAGAGGCAGGCAGATCTCTGAGTTTACAGATCAAATTCCAAGACAGCCAGGGCTACATAGAAAGACCCTGTCATGAAAAACAAAACCAAACCAAAAAGTCAGAGTCTCAAGTAACCCAGGGTAGCTTTAAACTTGCCAGGTAGTAGAACCTTGAATTTCTCATCCCCCTGCCTCCACCTCTGTCTGGTGTACTGGAATTACAGGTTTGTACTACCAAACTTGGCTTTCTTATATGTTTTGGTTTTTGAGACAGGGTCTTAAGCTGACCTTGAGCTCACCTCTGATGATGATCCCCGGCCTCTATCTTCCAAACCCTGGGCTTACAGGAGTGTCCACCACACCAAGTTTAGACAGTGCTGGAGACCAAACACAGGGCTCTGTGCTTGCTATACCCACTGAGCTAGCTTCCCATACCCCTTTTACGTGTGCAGCTTACTATAAGAGTAATTTGTAAATATTTTTTTTTTACTTGAATCAGCCAGTGCTGGCCACATTCTTCTACCTCACAAATGCTTTCTTCAGGTCAGGCCACTTTGACACTTCTTCAGTTGAATGTTGTATAAGTTCTTTCTCCAACTCATGTAATATTACAGTTGTATTAACTTTTTATTTTCTCCCAAACAGATGAAGTTGAGGAAACTAACAGCCTGGATGTAACTGCTGCTGGATTTGATCCCTTTCTGACAAGCTCATCCGACAGCAAGGAGTCGGCTTCTGAATCAAGTAGAAGCCTAACAGAAGAGCAGCAACAGAGAATTGAGAGAAATAAACTGCTGGCCTTGGAAAGAAGGCAGGCAAAGCTACTGAGTAATAGCCAGTCCCTAGAAAATGGTAAATTTTACGCTGGTTTTTATGAGCTACCATATAATATCAAGGGCATGTTAGAAATTTTAACTTCTTTACTATCTCTTGAAATAATACCTCTAGGAATAGAAAAGTGATGTTAAGTTTACGTATGTATATATTTTAGAGGGAGTGTCAGTGTCTGTATGCTTGCTATTTGGAATCCTTAAAGAATGTCTGCGATGGTTTACTGGGTAACTTTCTCAAAGTGCCAATATATTAACAATATAGTCTTTGACTTCTTATCTTAAAGTACTTTACATGTATTTTTAAGATCATACTTAGGGAAATTATTATTATGGAATCAGTACATTTAGTTCTGGGCATTGAGCCCAGCACTTTAGACAGACTAGGCAGGCGCTATATTATCGAGCTACACAGGCTCTCACCGGGTTGCCCAGGTTAGCCTTAAACTAGTTCTTTAACCTAGTCAGGCCTTGAACTTGCTTTCTCTTTCCTCAGCCTCCTGAGAGCTCAGATTATAGGTTTGCACGGCTGCACCAGCTTGTGATAATAGTAAATAGAATGTCTCCACTCACTGAGGGTTGGCAGTCAGCTTCTGTGATGTAAATGGGGCTAAAATGCTTGCTTAGGGATGGCAGACATTGGAGATTGAAACAGGGGCTTGAACAAGCTGAGTAAGCGCTCTTTCACTGAGCTGTATCCTTGACCCTTCCTTACATTTTTATTTTGAGTTTAGGTCTTCCTAAGTTACACAGATAACTCTCCATTTACCCACTGAATGATCTTCTGCCTCTGCCTCCTAAGGCGAGGGGTTACAGGTGTGCTGTGCACTCGGCTACTGCAATGCTGTATACCACATTGTCCCATTTTTGTGAGTTGTACTTTTTAGAGTTTACTTATCTTATAGTATCTCTTTCCCAATTTAAAAATTGCCTTAAACTTCCTGTCTTTATTCCATTATTTTTGATATCTAAAGTTGAACCCAAGTCCTTATGCATATTAATGCCTTTGTTCTACTTTGGAGTATACCCCAGCACAAATTTGCTGGGTCTTTTTGCTTGTTTGTTTGCTTGATTTTTTGTTTTAAACAAACAGGGTTCAGAACAGAGATACTATATTTTATTTTTTTAATCATGTGTCTAATATATATCTGATTATATGTGTGTGAGTTTAGGTGCCCAGAGTTTAAGGCTGTTGTAAGCTGCCAAGTGTTGGTGCGGTGCAGGGAATTGAACCCAGGTCTTCTGCAAGAGCAGAACATCTTAATTAACACCTGAGCCATCTCTTCATCCCCGAAATGAAAGCACTTGCTGCTCCTACAGAGGACCTGAGTTTTGTTCTTTGTACCCACATTGTGTGGTTCACAATAGTTTATAACTGCAGTTTAGGAGATCCAGTGCTCTTTTCTGGCCTCCTTGGGTACCTGCACATGTGTGCATACAGATAAATGAAAATAAAAAAGGACTATAGTAAGGAAATACTATGTTGTTGTAAAATGTCTCATCCAGCTGGTCAGTGGTGGTGCAAGCCTTTAATCCCAGCACTCAGGAGGCAGAGGCAGGTGAAGCTTTTGTGAGTTTGAGGCCAACCTGGTCTACAAAGTTATTTCCAGGACAGACAGGGCTGTTACACAAAGAAACCTTGTCCGAAAAAACAACAGAACAAAAATAATAATAAATACCTAAAAAAAAGAACTCTAGTAAGTAAATGTCATGTCATGTGTCATCCAGCTGGGCAGTGGTGGTGGATGCCTTTTAACCCAATACTTAAGAGGTAGAGGCAGGTGGATCTCTGAGTTCGAGGCCAGACTGGTATACAGTGCAAGTTCTGACCTCAAGGAGCTTCTGTGGTCATGCACATACACCTGCACAGGAGCTGAAGGGGTTTGCATGGCTCCAGCTGCATATGTAGCAGAGGACGGCCTTACTTGGCATCAGTGGGAGGAGAGGCCCTTGGTTCTGTGAAGGCTCAATGACCCAGTGTAGGGGAATGCCAGGGCAGTGAGGTGGGAGTGGGTGGGTGGATGGGGGAGCACCCTCATAGAAGCAGGGGCAGAGGGGATAACACAGGAAATGTAAATAAATAAAATATCTGCCCCCCCCCAAAAAAAAAGTCATATGAAAATGTGATGATGGATAGCAGTGGCTTCTTACCATTTCAAAGTTTACCTGACAGTGGGATTTAAGACTCATTTCCTGTTTATAAATTTTTCTAAATACAAATAAGTATTTGAAGGTTTCCTTTTCTTCAGACAGAGTTTTAAGTGCTGGGATTAACAGGCATATGTCATGATCTCTGGCTTAAATTTTCTTTACTATTAATCACTTTGATGTAAAATGTAACTGTATTTGTCTTGGCATTTTGTTTGTGCTGGTGTGGGTATGCATGCGTGTTCCTGCACATACACGTCAGGGGATAACTTGGGAGTCTGTTCTCTCCTTTCACCATTGGGTCAGTCAGGCTTGACCTTTACCCACGGAGTAGTCTTGCCCAGCCTGTCTCTAATTTTTTTAAATCTCTTTCTAGTTTTATTTTGAATGAGAAGTTACATTTGAGTAAGAATGAAGAGTTTGACTATACTATTTCAGGAGGCTTTTGTATGTGAGAGCACCAGGATTGAACCCAGGGCCCCATGCTTGCTGATCTGAATTGATTCTACGACTGAGCTACACCTCCCCTAGGACCCTTGGCATTTTAAGTGTGCTTTTATGCATGTGTGAAAAACTGGTTTATATTTAGACTTAGTTATCATAATTAGGTGATTATAGATTTGATTTCTATCAAGTAAGCTTTTGGAGAGATTTGTGTTTATCAAGATTGGATCAGTTGCTTCTAATGAGTAAAAATGATTTGATTTTTCTCTCAGACGTCACAGTTGTAGAGAGCAGTACTGGTGAGGATCGACAAGAGTCAAGTGGATTAGACAGAGACACTGCTGATGGCGCACATGATGTTCCTTCTGCCAGTGCACATGAAGAGGAGACACTGCCTCCTAATTTAGACTAATTCAGAACTGTTACAGTCGTCAACCATCTCCAACAGAATCCTGCAAGTTTGGAGTTATTTGTAGTTTTTTCTACTTTGTATAAATCCTTAAGTCTTAAGACTTCTGTAGATTCCTGCTTAAAATACAGTGACTATTTAAATTGTTTCCTACTTATTTTAGTAAGTCTATTTATTATTTGAGGTGTTCTGTATAGGTCTGACTTTATAAGCTGTTTTGTAGTTTTCATTGAATTCTCACTGAATTGGGTAATGATTTAAAATGTAAATATGCGCTATTAGGTTGGTTTTATAAAGAAATAAATTATTTTGTAAGCAACTCTCAGGATTTGAGTTTCTCACCATGATTTAGTTATACAAATTTAAACTTTTTGCTGAAGTGGTTAAGGATTTTGACTGTTTTGTGAGACTCACTCATTACATCACCTGGCTGGTCTGAAATTAGAGGTCAGTGTCCTGGGTTTTTTGTCTTCACATGCTAGGACAGTTGTGTACCTCATCTGGTCTTTTCTTTCCTGTCATTATTGGAAATGCCTGTCTCACTATAGCCTCAGCTGGTTTGAAGACTGCCTTGTGTTGGGATTAAAGGTGTGTGCCACAGCGCCCATCTTGCTGCAAGAGTCACCTGAATGTTTAAAAGATCACATAAAAGGTTGATACTGCCTCCCCATTAATGATGGTAGGCAAGTTGAAAGAACATTGGTAGGTTGAGAATGTGCTATAGGGCTTGTTTAGGGTGTGTAAGCCCATGGTTCTGAAACTCCAGCGCTCCAGAAGATAGGCTGCTCTTCCATGTTAGTGACTTGTTGGTGAGAATCTTGGATAGTATTGTGAGGGACAGTGCACAAGGGTCATATGAAGCTTGTCAGTTGGTAGAGGGGACTCTGAGTATTGGGAAGCATGTACATGCCAGAAATATTTAGGAAATAAAGATTTGGGGATGATGCCTAGGAGGCTCGAGGTGATGGGGCCAGAAGAGAGAGAGCCTGACTGGAGTTTTTGCTTGCTTTATGAGCATGGTGGAAGGGCTAACTAGAGCTGAGAAAGCACCATATTTTATGGTCTACTTCATGGCAGCATATTCTCATGTTGAGGGAAAAGACTGAAGACCAGAGACAACTTTTAGTGACAAGGAATAAAAGGAGGCCTCATCTCCTCTTCCTTAGGGAAAGGGTGATGATGGCACTATGGTAACTTATTTTTAAGCCAGGATAGGTGACATCTTAGACTGACATCAGGTAAATTGGGAGTACAAAGATGGTTTGAAAAGCCAGGAAGTCAGGCACAAATTGTGTGGACTGGTGTGGGTTTATGGGAACTATCTCAGTGATGGGCCAGAGAAGAATGAATGAAGATAGGCTCATTGTTTCAACATTGAACAGCTAGAAGATTACCAGGAAGATCTGATCACGGTTCCAGACTCACTGACTGGATTGCAGAAGGGCAGGTGGGAAAAAGTTACTTTTCTAGTGGTTGAGTGAGGGAACACTTCTCTTGGTACTTGACCATAGAAGGTGCACACAATAGAATTCAAGGGTGAGAAGGGAGTTTGAGGCAAGACTTAGGGTGCAGCCCGCCACTCTTGTGCCCTGTCTCCAGCTGGTGCCAGAACAACTGGGAAAGTGTAAATAAGAATTTTGGAGAAGAAAGGTAGACAGGACTGTCTTACCTAAAATGGCTAAAAATTTACCTAATGTTAGGGGCCTATGACTCAAACATGTCTATAAAAATTACAAAAGTAAACTTCATTTGAGCTAGACAGTGGCAGGACATGCCTGCAATCCCAGCACCCGGGGAGGTGGAGGGGGGCAGAGGCAGGCAGATCTCTTGAGTTTGAGGCCAGCCTAGTATACCGAGTAAGTTGCAGGACAGCCAGGGATGTATAGTGAAAGCCTGTCTCGAAAGCCCCCCCCCCAAAAAAAAAAAAAAAAAGAAATCAATTTGAGCCAAGTGTGGTGGCACATACCTTTAATCCCAGCAGACCAGGCAAGAGGATCTCAGTGAATAGCTTGATCTACATAGCGTGTTCTAGGCTAGCCAAGGCTACATAGTGAGACCCTTTTTTAAAAAACTTAAGAATTGGGACAAGATCATTAATTTTGGATTTACTAGAAAGAGACTAACAACCTGCCTTTTACAGCCCCATCACTGCTCACTGCTGAAAAGCCAGTTTTTAGTAGCTAGGCATAGTGTTGCGTGCCTTTAATCCCAGCACTTGGGAGGCAGAGGCAGGTGGATCCCTGAATTTAAGACCAACCTTGAGTTCCAGGATAGCCATAGTTACATAGTGAGATCCTATCATGAAAAACAAAACAACCAAAAAAAGAGAAACTAGTTTGAATAGGGATCTAGTTCTACTTGAGTGAGATATGATAACGTTGCGTGCCTATGTGAGGTACTCAGTCTCCTTCAGCTAGAGCATCAAGTGACACAAAACTCAAGTTTGAAAGGGACAAAGCTCTTTAATGACATGGAAGCATTTCACATTGTGTAACTGTCGGAAACGTCCAGAAGAGCTAGGTCCTTTATCTCCTCCAGAAGCGTGTACAGACTTCTTCCCTTTGTCTGGCGGTATTCTTGATGCTCTTCCTGAATCACCTTGCCTTTGACTTCTTGTGCAAGCTGCGCTTCCTCCACGGATCGGGTCACCTCCTTCACTAACTCACTCTTCAGCAGCAGGGAGCTCTGATGACAGAGTTCTGTGTTTGGGGTCATGTATGGTTTGTTGCTTACTATTTCAAGCCTGATTGTATCGGAGTGGCAGCGAGAAGCCTGGACAGAAATTCTTACCTGGCACAGAGAATACAGGTTACTATATCATGGCCTTTTTTCTTTACACTGAAAGCGACATTGAATGTACACACACTTACTGTCACATGGTCAAATAGACGAAATGTAACAGACTGCCCTCCAGCTGTGGTAGAGGTGATCTTGTTTTGAGATCTCTGTAGGGAGCCTGGCTTCCATTCAGAGCTGCCCTCTGGGCCACAGGAGATCACTAAGCCATCTTTATTCTTCAGATAAGCAGCACCTTTAATCCCAAACCTCCATCATTGACGGGGAGAAAACAGATAATGTATACTCAGCATGCAGACCTTACTATAATTAGCCGCTTTTCCTGTGGTTTACCTCAAAAACATTTTTACAAAAAACAGGTAAGAAACAATACTTTGCTAGCTAAGAAAAGTCCTAAGACTGATAGGGATGTACTCCCAATTGCTCCCTTTACTCCCTGCTGTATATTATGCTATATTCATACATATATATGGCATTGTATATGTGAATCTATAGGTTTGTGCCACCGTGACAAGCTTATGTTCTTTTGAGATGATGTCTCAGCACAATCTGGCATCAAAACCATTATATAGCTAAGGATGACCTTGAGCTTCTGATCATCTTGCTTTATAGGCCAGTGTCATCACACCTGGTTCTATGGGATGATGGGGATCAAATCCAGCACTCCAGATGTGTTAGGCAAGCAATCCACCAGTAAGCTATACAACCCCAGTCTAAATAAGTACTTTAGTAAGTTATATATAATGAACATTTGTGTTCTACGCTGGTATTAACTATGGTTTCTTGTCAACCAGTGCATGAGAGGTAACATACCTTGGAATAAATACAAGTACACCATTTGTCCTAATGGAATAAATAACTCCATCAGCTGTGCAGCGCTCCTCCGTTTCCGGGTCTCTGTCTTTAAAGTACATGCACTGGAAGAGCTCGGTGGACTGCTTCTGAGAACGCTGTGCCGCCTGGAAGAACCCAAAGCATGACAACAGTTCCTTGCCTTCCAGGAGGAAACCCGAAACTCATTCCCACAGAAACAGCTTTTAAAAAGGCAGGTGGTGGCACCTGCATGTAATCCCAGCACTTGGGAGCTGAGACAGGAGGATCGACTTTAGTCACCCAGAGTAAGCCCTTGTCTCAACCAAAGGAGAAGAGACAGAGCAATCTGGCCTCAAACACAGAGTAGCAGATGAGATGAGAAGGCAGGCTCAGTGACAAAGCACACTCCACGAAGCCCTTACCACCTGAGTTAATCCCCAGGCCCCCAAGGAAAGGCTGGGCATGAAGGCACACATCTTTAATCCCAGTACTCCCAGCACAAGGTGGGAGGTAAAGACAGGAGAATTGGCCAGAAGCTCACAGCTGTAGTGGCCAGCTGTCTTGGAGTGCACAGTGCAGCAACAGAAATAAGATGGTCTCTAAAACAAGGTGGAAGGCAGGAACCAACTCTTGAAAGTTATCCTGTGATATCCACATGTGCTATTACACATGGATAACTGCTCTGTCTCTCTGTCTCACAGACACGTACACGCATGAATATTCAGACTGATGAGATGGCTTAGTGGTTAAAGGCATTTTAACTTTTAAACCTGACAACCTGAGTCCCATACTGGGATGAAGATGATTGAAGATTACCATATCCCACAAACTATCCTTTGGCTTTCAGTTGAATATGTATATTCAACATACACATATATATGTAATTGAAGAAATTTTACTTTATTTATTTATTTATTTATTTATTTTGTTTGTTTGTTTGCTTTTCAAGACAGGGTTTCTCTGTGTAGCCCTGGCTGTCCTGGAACTCATTCTGTAGACCAGGCTGGCCTCGAACTCAGAAATCTGCCTGCCTCTGCCTCCCAAGTCCTGGGATTAAAGGTGTGCGCCACCACCGCCCGGCTGAAGAAATTTTAAAGATATGAAAATTACTATCTATTATTGTACAGAGATACCCACTATTAAATTACAGACGATGCTAACTTTTTGTTGTTTCTCTTGAGACAGGATCTCACTATTATGTAGCACTGGCTGTTCTGGAACTCACTATATAAATCACGCTCGCCTCGAACTTGCAGAGATCTGCCTGTTTCTGCCTCCTAAGTGCAGGGACTAAAGGCATCTGCCACCATACCTGCCACCATGCCTGGCATATATATTCTTGCTAATGTAGACCAGGCTAGCCTCAAACCTTAAACTTGTGTGTGTTTCAGCCTTCTAATTATTGGGGTTATACCATATCCAGCTGCTTGAATCTCTATATCTCTACCTTTCAGGAAAGATCTCTAATCCGCTGTCAAGCCTCTAATGCTAAGCCTGGATTAGTGCGCAGAGAGGCTATGTGGAGGGCCACTTGAGCTTCCTTAGTGGAAACTCAGCCTGGAAAGCACAGTGAGATCTCATCTAAAAATACAAAGCAAAATAAAACTGCCAGGCATGGTGGCTAAGAAAGGACATCTTTAATCCCAGCACTTGGGAGGCAGAGGCCAGACTGGTCTACATACTGAGACCCTGTCTCAAAAACAAACGACAA